CAGCATAGCCATAATAAGAGGTTAGATCGATTTTTTGGTGTACGCGGTAAATGGGCAGAACTCCCCTTTTAAACCAAATTGAGGGATAGATAGGAAGTTGTACTGATGACCTCAAAGTATGCAAGCAGGTCACCACAGTTGATCTTACCTAAAAGATCATAGTTCTCCTCATGGGCACGGTCTTAACTCGCAGGAAAATACTAAGTGTCAGAATTTGCCCATGACCATAGTTTTTTAGCTCACCCTGATATTAAAAAAAAAAAAAAAAAAAAACTCCAAAAATCAGGGACGGGGTTGAGCACCCCCTTGACTGACATCATAGAGGCTGCCTCCTTGGTCCACTTTATTAGAGACCAGGAAATTGAGGAGCAAGCTAGCAGCAGGAGCGATGTAAGGATGGGCAACAGGCCAATCAGTGGCTGCTTTACACGGTGATCCACTGTCAAGGAAACCCAGCAAAGCCAATGCACCCCAAATGGCACCTGTTGCTGACATAAGGAGCCAGGGCATTGGGCAAGCAGCTGTTGTAACAGCGACTGCCTTCTGTCAACTCTGCCAAGAGCAAGGCTACTGGACATGGAACTGCCCTGGGTGTCGAAGGACTCCTGGTTCAGAACCGCAGACCCTGTGGCCCCGAGCTAAAAAGCCTTTGGCTCTGCCCAGCTTCCAGCTCCAGCCACTGCTATTGGGGATGGCCTAGGGTCAGTAAAATGCAAGTTGCCTATTTCTATCAGCCTCCTATTCAGCTCTCCTCCTAGTCCAGCCATGTAATGCAAGTCAACAGGGTGACTCCCTTAAGGGAGATTTGCATCTCTTACAATTCTCTTAATAGCACCCCATGGATAGGTCTGGGCCTCACACACCCAGCCAGGCCTTAAAAGTAAACTTAAAAAGCCCTCCCTGCCAGTTCCAGGGGAAAGTGGTCCCCTCCACTCCTGTACTGAGACTATAGACTTAATCTATGCCAACAAAAGGGACCCAAGAGACAGTCCCCTGACTAACACAGATGAAGTTTGGTTCATAGATGGAAGCAGCTTTGTCAGACTGGACCTGCTTCTCAGGGTATGCAACAGTTACAGCATGCTCTGCCCCCAGGAACTTTTGCTCATTTAGCAGAACTGATTGCCTTAACCAGAGCTCTAGATCACACAAGGGATTTGTAAGGCATCTTCACTCTGCATGGAGACCTCAGTCTTCCGGTAAGGCAGAAAGAGCCAACCAGGCTCTATAAAAAACATCACAAGGATAGAAATGTGTGCTTGGTAAGTAAGGTTTAAAAGGAAAGAGTGTTCTTGATAAAAAGGGTTAAAAAGAAAAGAGCTTTTTAAATAAGAAAAGGACATGGTTTGTAAAAATCCTGATGGCTAGTTTACTCTAGACTGGAATGGAAATAATGGAATGTTTCAAGTAAGTTAAAGAGGGTGTGTGAAGTCACAAAAGGTTATAAAAAAAAAAATTAAACATGCTAACTACTGCTCCAGGAGCTATTTATGCCATGTTCCAGAAAAAATGTTGTCTCTGGGTCAATCAGACTAGACAGGTACAAATCCAAATTTTCCTGGAAAAAGCCAAACAGCTCCAGGACCAGGCAAAGCAGGGCTGGGATTTCTGGCCTGATATCTGGTCACGGAAATCCTGGCTGTTTCCTCTCATTGGTCCAATAACTTCTGCAATCTTGATGCTTCTCTTTGCACTGTGTGTTTTTAATGCCCTTGTTCGTTTTGTCTCTAACAGACTAAAAGCTGTTAAACTCCAAATGGTCATCAGGCAAGGCTTCCAGCCCATTCCACTGGATGACCTGAGCAGCCCTCTGGACCGAGCGGCACCGTCTTTCCAAGGCCACTGTTGCACACCATAAGACAGGTAGCAAGAGGAAATACCCAAACCCCCCTCGACGCCCACATGCCAGCTTCGAAGAAGTTACAGAAAACGGAACTCCATCCATAATCCCAAAGAAGAATTTTGGGTATTACCTCTTGAGGGGAAAATATTAGGCAGAAAGTCAGTTATGAGCTTATGTGTGTGTGACATAAAGGCCTAATGTGTCCAGCATATGCATCTGCACCTCAGTCATCCTGACAATGTTTCACTGGAAGTCCGGCCTTTGCATCCTGCCCTGCCCCCTTCTACCTGATAACCTGCCAGGTGGAGATCCCCACCCCTTCTGCCTGACAAATCTTCCACAACCTCCCAGATACAGCCCAGTATCTGCATTTCAGTATTGCAGAACAGGCGGGGGTTGAATCTCATTTTCATAGAGGGGGGGTTATGCGCAGCCCTTAAAGAGGAATGCTGCTTCTATGTAGACAAGACAGGGGTGACGAGGGACAACATGGCTCAACTACGTAAATGCTTAGAGGAAAGACAGTGGGACAGACTTCAGCAACAGGGATGGTTTGAGTCGTAGTTCACTAAGTCTCCCTAGCTAAAAATGTTAAACTCATGGTAATTCGTCAACAATATGTAACACATGGGAAAGGGGAAACAGATGGTCTCTAAGATTAGAGACCCTGGCCTAAGAGGAGTGGGGAATGAAGGGTTAAAAAGTTAAAAGCCGCTTCCCCCCCCAACCTCCTCTGGTGAACTTTCCTGACCTTGTTAGATTTGCTCTGCATAGCCATTAGTCAGTAAATTACCCCAATGTGAGCGTAACCTCAGTTTCACCTAAGTGAGATAGAAGAAGTCACCATATATCTCTGCCTCCTGGACCCCTGACTCCACCATGTGTCCCTTATCGCCATTCGGCTGCATTCCTAGGTATCACTCCCTGTATTCATAAATCAACTGGTTGTAAAATCACTTAACTTGTATCAATTGTTTACTCTATACCACTGTCTGCTCTATGCAATGATTGATTTTCTTTGTTTCAATGTGTATAAAAACCCCAACCCAAGACTATTCGAGGCCGCTCGCCTGTACTGGGACGGGGGCCCCGACATGTCGGAACATCAATAAACTTTACCCTTTGTTAATTACATGAGAGAAGGTCTCTTGGAGCGTTTTTGGGGTGGCAAGAGCAATTCAACTCTAATTCGACTGTAACATTTTGAGGGCCAACATTTTGGTGCAATAGGCTAAGCCTCCAACTGTGATGGCAGCATCCCATATCAGAGTGCTGGGTCAAGTCCTGGCTGCTCTGCTTCCCACTGAGCTCCTTATTAATGAGCCTGAAAAAACAGCAGCAGATGAGTCAAGTACTTGGGCCCCTGACACCCACAGGAGAGGCCAGAATGCAGTCCACGGCTCCTGGCTTCTGACTCCTAGCATCAGCTTGGCCCAGCCTCATCCACTGCAGACATTTTGTTCATGAACTGCGAACCACTAGCTGGAAGCTCACTCTCTTTCTTGCTCACTCTCCCTTTCTATCTTTTGAATAAATACAAAATCCTTATATTTATATATATGTGCACTTAAACTTTTTATGTGAAGTCATTCTAGATTTATAGAGAATTGTATAAACAGTTCAGAGAAAAACAACTGAGACTTCATGGTCCCCCAGCTGTATAGCTTAGAAAGTTGCTGAGATCAGAGCCAGCACCGTGGTTCACTAGGCTAATCCTCTGCCTTGCGGCGCCGGCACACCGGGTTCTAGTCCCGGTCGGGCGCTGGATTCTGTCCCGGTTGCCCTCTTCCAGGCCAGCTCTCTGCTGTGGCCCGGGAGCGCAGTGGAGGATGGCCCAAGTACTTGGGCCCTGCACCCCACAGGAGACCAGCATAAGTACCTGGCTCCTGCCATCCGATCAGCGCGGTGCGCTGGCTGCAGCGCTCCAGCCGCGGCGGCCATTGGAGGGTGAACCAAGGCAAAGGAAGACCTTTCTCTCTGTCTCTCTCTCTCACTGTCCACTCTGCCTGTCAAAAAAAAAAAAAAAAAAAAAAAAAAGAAAGTTGCTGAAATCAGAAAGCTTAAACTCAATGCCCAAGCTTTAATCCCAGAAAGTTCAAGACATTTTTTCAAGGTCACAGAAGCATGTAATAATGCAAATATTCAAAAGCTACTTATAGTGATAGCAATCCTATATATTTTATACATACAACATTATATTCCTTCTGTAGGGATAAGACTAAGTTGAATGGTCTAGTTTTTCTATACATTCCATAAAATGATTTTCTATGCATTCAACCTGAAACATGAAAAATTCATAATCTGAAAATTTAATCAAATGAATAGGTCTCATACATTTCCTCAAGAGTTTTCTAAAGCCATGAGAATAAGCATATCGGCAAAAGAAGTCATCATGTGTCTCACACTTTTGCGAGAAGGAACCATGCTTCCCCTGGCTGCTTCTACTCAACAAGGAATAGCTCCTTCAATGTTATTCTATTCTGAATCCTTGATAGAACCTGCAGCCACAATCGGTAAAGTGTCATGTTTCACACTATCAGTGGCTTCAGATGAGCACAAACAGGATTCATCATAGTATCATGCAATGAATCTAATGTTTAAAATATTGGTAAATGATCATAACCTAAGTTCCCTTTTAGTGGATTTTTTACTTGAATTTCATTTTCCCAGCTGATAACAATATTTACTTTGTCTACAAAGAAGCTAAAATTAAAATCAACCAAACACTGATGTTTTGCCACCACAAAATTCCAATGTTAAAGCCCTAGGCCTCCAGTACCTCAGAATGTGTCTATAACCGGAGAGTCTTTAAACAGGTTATTAAATTTACATGATGCTGCTACAGTGGCGACAATCTAGTCTGACTGGTGTCCTTAGAAGAGGAAACTGGGATATACACAGAGATACAAGACAAAAAAGCCTATGATGATGAACAGAGAAGAGTCATCTGCCAGCCAAGAAAACAGGTTCCAGAAGATACAAAACCTAGTGACACACTGAGCTAGGACTTACAACTTCCAGAACCATGAGAAAATAATTTTTTATTGTTTAAACCATGCAGTTTATGATATTTCATTAATGCAGCCCTAGAATGAATACAAACACTTCAACAGGAAAAAATTACATACCACATATTACAAAATAACAGGTATTTGTGTGCAAATGCTTCAAAATACCGTCTTATTCCAAAATAAATATTAAACTTTAAAAGCTGATGATTCATTGCACACACCTTACCGTCAATGTTCTTCATTGTTATTATGTCAAGGGACTTCAGAGAATGTCCCGCAGGTGAAATGAAGTAAAGGCACACATGGACACGAGAATCGTGGTACTGAAAGAAGGAACGTTTAATCTTCAGTTCTTCTTGAAGACAGACGTCAAATTGAGCATCTAGGTAGTTAATGAATGGTTGGTAGCTAAAAAAATAATGAGCGTAACAGATTAATAAAATTTGAAGTCTGTTTTTCACCATTTAATAAACAATATGTATGCTGAACAAGTTTCTATGGTGATTAAAAAGGTGAATAATATGTCCATAAAAAGGTAATTTCTGGATCTGAGATGGCTTAATAGGGAAAACATGTGCTGACTTTGACCATGGGAATATAACAGAAGAAAAGGGTGGAACTGCATTCTGCAGGGGACAGTTGGAGAGAAGTGTGCAGTGGAAATTCTACAGAAAGCAGAGAGACACCATGGAGCAGCAAGGATGGTACAATCACACAGCAGTGAGCAGGGCATCACCAGCAACTCACAAAGCTGCTGGCTGCAGGGGACACCATCTGTCTGCATCCAGGTGCCTGGTGACCAGCAGGGAAGAGGAGACACATCAGCAAAGCAGGTAGAGACTGCTGCAGGCTGCACATGACAGGGAGTTTACAGAGGGATAGATCCGTGGTCCACACTGACTTTGAGTCTGGCATGAACAATTAGCAGGGAGCAGGGTACCCACTTAGGCTTGTAAAGTGCTCCCCTCCCATCACTCTACCAAGGCACTCAGACTCATTTTGCTGAGGCAGAGCACAACCAACTTCTATCCAGCAAGCATCTGGCTCTGGGAATGCAGCAGCTCCCTCCACAGCCAGGGGAGGCTCACACTGTTAAGAGTAGACCCCACACACCCTGTGACTGTGGGAGCTATGTGGGCTGTGACTGTGGGAATTCTGTGACTATTAGATAGGGTGTGGGTGTGGTTGTGTAATCATGTGTCTGGCTTCAAAGGCTCCGAGTTCCCTGAGTGCCTTCGGTGGGTCATTGCAGAGGGTTCTTCATGCACCTGAGTGGGTGAGGTGCATACCAACTGTGGGCTCACATTGAACAATTGGTTCACTTGGTAAAGAGAAGCTGAGGCTGTGATCATGGCAGCCAAAGTGATCATACCCACCCTCTGCTGACAACAGAGGAGATCTACCGTGCCCAACATGGGTGTCACCGCAGACTCTTACTCCAGAGTGTTAACCAGGGCTCCATGGCCACACTCAGCACATGCTTCTGGATATCCACTGATGGCATAGACACTCCATTAAGCCACAGTGGTACATTTCAAAGGCAAAAGCCCTTAGAGGAGAAAACCAAGTGTTTCCACAAATGTATAAAAATAAACAAATACAACAAATACAACAAACATGAACATTTATCACCTCACCACAGTTAGCACAGCTATCATCCAAAAATCAAAAAAAAGGCCGGTGCCGCAGCTTACTTGGCTAATCCTCCACCTGCAGTGCCGGCACCCAGAGTTCTAGTCCTGGTTGGGGCGCTGGATTCTGTCCCGGTTGCTCCTCTTCCAGTCTAGCTCTCTGCTGTGGTCTGGGAGTGCAGTGGAGGATGGCCCAAGTCCTTGGGCCCTGCTCCCACATGGGAGACTAGGAGGAAGTACCTGGCTCCTGGCTTTGGATCGGCACAGTGCACCAGCCGTAGTGGCCATTTCAGGGGTGAACCAACGGAAGGAAGACCTTTCTCTCTCTCTCTCTAAAAAAAAAAAAAAAAAAAAAAAAAAGAATGCTAGTGATGTTATGGAGAAAAAGGTACCCTAATCCAATATTGGTGGGAATGTAAACTAGTACAAACATAATGGAAGACAGTATGGAGATTCCTCAGAAATCTGAATATAGATCTACAATACAACCTAGTCATTCCACTTCTGGGAATTTACCGAAAGGAAATGAAATCATCATACAAAAGAGTTACATTTACTCCTATGATTCTAGCAGTTCAGCTGAGACTAGCTATGATATGGAATTAATCCTAGACTGAAGATTGGATTAAAAAAAATTTTGATATATATATATGATGGAATACCACTCGGCCATAAAACAGTATGAAATTCTGTCTTTTGCAACAAAATGGATGCAACTGGAGAACATTATGCTTACTGAAATACACAAAAACTCAAAATATTATATATTTTCCCTGACTTGTGGTAACTAGTATAAAAAATAATGTTTAAAATAACAGTATAAAAATAATGTTTTGAGTGAAACTGACATTTTAAGATTTGATTATTGTTTATAGCACTTGTCCATATTCCTAAGGGACAGTGGTTTTTCTTCTTACTACTTGTCTTCACTACAAAGCAACAATAATAGCATGTGTATTCATTCATTTCACTTGTAAACGATCAAACTGGGAGATTCCTGTGGCAATTGGTGAAAAGTACTGGTGGGAATACCTAATTCCAACAATCACTCTAGAATTATTGGATGAACTGACACATGAGTTTCCACAAATATGGGGGGAAATGCCTAGAAAGTTGAAAAGGATTTGAAACTGGAATGTTAACAAGGTAGATAAGAAGCCAAAAGTAAGATTGACAAGTATTAGAGGCACTGCTTCTGGGTTAATCTTTGGTCCAGAATTTCATTTTAATAGATGGTGTGATTGATGTGCCTAGAAACTGAAGTTTTAGAAAAGCACCTACATGATCCTTCCCTGAACAATACTTCTAAAATAAAGAAATATTTTTGCTCAGACAGCTACATATCTATTTCTTAATGTTTGTTTATTTGTATTTACCTGAAAAGCAGGGAAAGAGGTGGTGTAAAAATCATCCATCTGTTGGTTCACCCCACAAATTCCAGCAGCAGCTGGAGATGGGCCATGTGAACCCAAAACCCCATCTGAGTCTCCCATATGGGTGATAGGGGCCCAAGCACTTGAACCTTCATTTGCTGCCTCCCAGGATGCATTAGTAAGAAGTTAGGTAAGAAGCAGATTACCTGGAATTTGAACCAGAATCTGATATGGGCTGCAGGAGTTCAAGTGGCAGTTTAGCTTGCTGTGTCACAATACCTATCCAAGGTCATATCTTGTCATATCTTGTCAATGTTAGCAACAGGAAGACTAAGTGCCTCATATGATTTGTCACCACAATGAGAATGTAATCAACAGCTGGCGCCGCAGCTCACTAGGCTAATCCTCTGCCTTGTGGCGCCGGCACACCGGGTTCTAGTCCTGGTCAGGGTGCCGGATTCTGTCCCGGTTGCCCCTCTTCCAGGCCAGCTCTCTGCTGTGGCCAGGGAATGCAGTGGAGGATGGCCCAAGTGCTTGGGCCCTGCACCCCATGGGAGACCAGGAGAAGTACCTAGCTCCTGCCATCGGATCAGCGCGGTGTGCCGGCTGCAGCGGCCATTGGAGGGTGAACCAACGGCAAAGGAAGACCTTTCTCTCTGTCTCTCTCACTGTCCACTCTGCCTGTCAAAAAAATGTAATCAACAAGAATCATCATGGGTAGAACAGACATATTCACATAAACAAGAGAAACTTTGTCTGCAGCAAGTGTAACATTGACTTCTAACAGGGATCTGCTAAAACATCACAGACTTGAAACATTTTCTGACCATCTTCTGTTAAGCAAAATACACTCATGCAGCAGACAGCAGCAAACACCATGGCCCAATTTCTGCTATTCCTGGGATAATAAGTGTCTTTAGGTAAATACAAGAAATAGGAGAAAAGCAAGGTTTGGGCCAGCACTGTGGCGCAGTGGGTTAATGCCCTGGCATGAAGCACCGGCATGACACATGGGTGCCGGTTCGAGACCTGGCTGCTCCACTTTCAATCCAGCTCTCTGCTATGGCCTGGGAAAGCAGCAGTAGATGGCCCAAGTCCTTGGGCCCCTGCACCCACATGGGAGACCAGGAAGAACCTCCTGGCTCCTGCCTTCAGACTGGCGCAGCTCCAGACATTGCAGCCAACTGGGGTATGAATCATTAGATGGAAGACCTCTCTCCATCTCTGCTTCTTCTCCCTCTGTGTAACTCTGACTTTTCAATAAATAAATAAATTTTTTTTTTTAAAAAAAAAGGTAGGCACTCTAGGCCTTGACATATGGGAACATTATATCACCAAAAAGTAGAAAAGCAAGACAGACACATATACAGTCATGGGCAGCCAGTCAGTAGCAATTCTGCAACTTCTTCTATTGAAATGAAAATTCCCGTCACAAATACAGAAAAATACATGACATATAAATGGAAGAGTGGATCACTGAAATTATTCCAAGTTCTGAAAGGAAAGTACTGCCAACCAAGGATAGTTTGTCAAGTGAAACTATCTTTCATAAGTGAAGGAGAAACAAAAGCATGCACAGACAGGAAAAATTTAAGGAATTCATCACCACCATGCCAAGCTTCCAAAAGATGCTTAAGGGACTCCTTCATAATAAATAAACCTACCATTTAGAAGGACAATGCCCACGAAAAAAAAAAAAAAAAAAAAACAAAGGATAATAAAAATAAGCAGAAGCAACTTTTAAATTATAGGACTAAGTCATTACTTATTATCAAAAACTTTAAATGTAAATGATCTAAATTCCCCAATTAAGAGAACCAGACTGGTTGGATAGATCAAAGAAAAAGGCTCAACAATATGCTGCCAACAAAAATTTGCTTCTTCAGAAAAGACACACGGAGACTGAAAGTAAAAGGATGAAAAAATAGACTCCATGCAGGTAGAAACCAAAAGCTTTTTGAACAGGGGTGGCTATAAGTATCCCAGAGAAATTGGACTTTAATGTAAAACCAGACACAAGTGGTGACCATATAATGATCAATAGGTCAACTCAACAAGAAAATACAATGGTTTTAGATGAACATATACTTAAAGCTAGATTGCCCAAACATTAATAGATCAAAAGAGACAAACAAGCTCCAGTACAACAATGGTAGCAGAATTCTACATTCCAGACAAACGTATCAACAAAAACATATTAGAGTTTAGCTATATAATGATATAGGACCAATGAACACATCAGATACTTAGAGAACATTGCATCAAACAGGTACAAAATGCACAATCTTTTCATCAGCATATGGAACATTCTGTAGTACAGACATATATTATGGCAAAAAGCCAGCCTCATCAGATTAAAAAAAAAAAAGGCAAAATAATATCATGTATCATTTCTTACCATAATGGAATAAAACTAGGAAATCAACAACAAAAGAAACTCTAGTAATTTCACAAATATGTGGAAACTGACAATATGCTTCTCAATGAACAGCAGGGTCACTGAAGAAACCAAAAGGAACAATTTAAATTCCTTGAAACAAATAAAAATAGAAACACAACATACCAAAACTTCTGGGATACAGCAAAAGCAATACAAGAAGGGACATTTTTAACAAGTATATACGTAAAAAAAATAGAATACCAATTAAACATACTAACTATGCATCTCAACATCTAGAAAAACAGTAACAAAAATGAAAAGGAAAGAAATAAAAAAAAGAGCAGAATAAATGAAGTAGAAACTTAAAATGCAGTACAAAAGATCGATAAAATAAGAGTTTTTTTTTTTTTTTTTTTGACAGGTAGATTTATAGACAGTGAGAGAGAGAGAGACAGAGAAAGGCCTTCCTTCCATTGGTTCACTTTCCAAATCGACACTACAAGCCGGCACTGTACCTATCTGAAGCCAGGAGCCAGGTGCTTCATTCTGGTCTCCTATGCAGGTGCAGGGGCCCAAGCACTTGGGCCATCCTCCACTGCCCTCCTGGGCCACAGCAGAGAGCTGGACAGGAAGAGGAGCAACCAGGACTAGAACTCAGTGCCCATATGGGGTGCCAGTGTTGCAGGCGGAAGATTACCAAGTGAGCCACGGCGCCAGCCCCAAAAGTTGGTTCTTCCACATAAGTAAAACTGACAAACTTTAGCTGTGGTAAACAAAGGAAAAAAGACTGTACTAATAAGTAACACCAGATGTGAAAAAGTAGATTGGACAACTGATAGAACAGAAATACAAGGGTCATTCGAGATCACTATGAAGAACTATATACCAACAAATTGGAAAACATAGAAGAAATGCACATATCTCTGGATACAAATAACCTACCAATATTTAACCATGAAAACATAGAAAGCACAAACAAAATGAGTAATTAAATCAAGTCAGTAATTAAAAGTCTCTAATCTAAGGAAAGCAAAGACCACATGGGTTTCTTCATTGCTGAAATCTACCAAATTTTTAGGGAAAATTAACACCAATTCTTCTCAAACTGTTACCGGAGAAATTGCAGGGTTCTTGTCTTCGCGCAAGAAAGAATTCAGGCGTGAGACAGAGAAGTGGAAAGTAAAAGTAGCAAAGTTTATTAGGGTAGGGACATCCCCAAGAATGGATGGGCACCTCTCCAGACAGGACCTGAGAGAGAGTGCAGAGATTACACCTGGCCAAATCAGGGGGGGGCGACTCAGCAGAGAGGCAGAGGGCTGAGCATGCAGTCCAATTGAGGCTGGGGGTTTTTAAGGAGATGGGTCTTGCTTCCCCCACCTCTGCTCCTCTTGGAACAAAGGCCTTTTTGGATGTAAATAGAAAAACTTCTCTCTTGAAGTTCTGAAACAAAGGACTTTATGGATGCAAATGTTATCAGACAGGAGGAACTGGAGCAGGGTGTTTGAGATGCAGATACTGGGCCGCACCTGGGAGATTGTAGAAGATTTGTCAGCAGAAGGGGTGGGGACCCCCCACCTGGCAGGTTATCAGGTGGAAGGGGGCAGGGCAGGGCAGGATGTGAATACCGGGCTGCCCCTGAAACACCATCAGGATGACCTTGAGATGCAGCATATTCTGGACATAGATGTCCTTCTCTTTAGGCCTTTATGTCACATACACATAAGCTCATAACTGACTTCCTACCTAATAAAACCATCTCTCAAAACTGCATCAGATGAAACTCTCCAAACTCGCCTACAAATTCAGCATTACCTTTATTCCCCAAGCAGAAAAGTACTCAACAAATACAATAGATAACAATATGCCCGATGAGCATAGATGCAAGAGTTTTCAACAAAATGCCTACAAATCAAATCCAACAAAACATCAAAAGATCATGCATCATATCAACTGGGATTTATCCCATGAAAACTGGGATGGTTCACATTCCAGTCAGTAAATGTACATTATAAAGGCTCTAATCAGAAAGACAGAAAATAACAAATGCTAGTAAGGATGTGGCCAACATGAAGCTTCTTCTTGTTAATGGTCATTAACATTTGAAGTTTTCTGTATTAAAAATGACCCTCCCACTTTAAGCCACATTTATATTAATAAAGATGGGAGAAATAATACAAATGATTAACCATCCTAGAAAACCCAATAGTAGTATTTTATAAACAAAACTTCACAAAGGCTCAGTAGAACTATGAATTCATTTTATCCAGTGATTTGGATTGGAAACAGGGTCGGACTACTTCTAAGGAATTTTGTGACTTTATGGTTTCATGCATCGTGTAAGACTTCCAGCCTTACAGAAAACACAAGCCTAGAATAGGCCACTGTTCTGACTTGGCCAATAGGCAACTACACCCACTTCTTTCTGCATCATCAATGCTAGCACCTAGCATCTTGCTTGACAACACAACAAAATGCCAATTTCAGCGACTAGTTTTAAAACAGCAGCTAAAAGTCTCAAAGTACCTTTATCCTTCAAAGAAAAGATATTCTGACATAACCCTATTTCTTTCAGCCCCTGGATTTTTTTTTTACTTTTAATAATAGCTTTTTTTTTTTTTTTTTTTTTTTGCATTCCACAGGGGTTTTTAAAAACTTCTGGCGGGCATGCAATAATTTTATATATTTATTGGGCTACACTGATATTTCAGGATATTGATCCTGCAAGTACGGGGCCTCTTTTCTCTTTATCATTACCTTATGTTTGATCTTTTGAGCTCCTGTCCCTGTAGTTCTCTGGCCTCCGCGTCAGCAACCCAGCGACTTGCGGCGGCCCTCCTGTGCCCAGCATTGCCGCCGCCCGCCCTGCGGGTCGCCCTGGGCCAGCCGCCCGGGCTGCCCCTGCTGTGGCCTCCGCGTCTTTGGGGCGCCCCGAGTGGGAGCAGGAGCCCGGGAGTACCAGGCGCCCCGCTTCCAGCACCAACAGCGGGCGCCCCGCGAGGAGAGGGCGCAGGCGCCACCTGGAACGCCCGGGAGCGAAGGCGGGGCGCCGTCTACCGAGGCCCTCACTCTGGGGACGCGCGGTGCAGCAGCTTCCCGGCCCGGGGTCATGCTTCCATGTCCTTGACCTTTCTGCCTGGGCCACCGCCCAGGCCCCAGGGGTCCCGTGGCACTGCGGCCTGGGACCTTCTGCACGTTGGGACGCCCGCGTGCTCCAGCGTTCCTACCGCGGGGCACAGGCGGTTGGCGCGCGGGGTGCGGGCCCCGGTCAGGCGTCACCCTTGAGGAGGGATGAGCCCCGCTTTTTCCATGGGCCGCCGCCATCCGCCCTCCAGCTGCGGGGCCCTGAGGGAACCGTTTCCGGTCCAGCTGTGCCTGGCTGAGGGCTCCTGCGGGAGAAGTTTCTGTGCATGAGGGAGCTTCCGGGAACCCATTGGCTCTGAGGCAACTCCCCTGGCCTGCACTGTCAGCCGCCAGCCCGTGTCCACCAGCAGCCAGGATATGGTCCTCCACAAACAGACACCAATAGGAACTCACCCAGAGACCCTGGGGCTCACTGGTGTGTGGCCCCTCACCCTCCTTCTCAGCTGCCGCTGCACCGTGCTGCACGCCAATGGGTGGCGCGCAGGGCACATTCCAGCCCCGACAAGCCTTAACCTTACCCTGTTTCCTTTCTGGGATTCCCCCCCCCCCCTCGCATTTCTACAAAGCGTTGGGCAGCCCTCCCAGGGCAGCTGCCTCCTTTGTTTCCCTAAGGACATGGGAGGGCCCACAAAAGTGGACTGTTTGTGTGTCTTTTCCTTAAATGGGAGAGAAAAGATTGTCACATCCTGGGCACTGAGAGAGATTTGTTGCTGTTAGACTCTGAAAACTAATACAAGATGCACTACCGATTGTAGATCTTATCCGTATATAACCAACTGTGTACAAGTATTAATATTTTTAACACTTACTTATTTGAAAGGGAAAGAGTGAATCTCCATTGCTTTCACTCCCTCAATATGGATAGAACATCCAAGGCTGGCCAGGCTGAAGCCAGGAGCCCAGAACTCCCACCTGAATCCCCATGTGGCTGGTAGAGAGGAACATATTTAAACTATCATCTGTTGCTTTCCAGGCAGGGCAGTAGAGAGGTGGATCAGCAGCAGAGTGGTCAGGGCTCCAACCTGCAGATATGAGTGCAGGTATCTTAAGCCTCGACTTAACCCACTGTGACACAATGCTCACACTTATTAAGCCTATTGACCCTAGTCCTAACCCTGTATTTTATTTTATTTTATTTTATTTTATTTTATTTTATTTTTTTTTGACAGGCAGAGTGGACAGTGAGAGAGAGAGACAGAGAGAAAGGTCTTCCTTTGCCGTTGGTTCACCCTCCAATGGCCGCCGCGGCCGCGCGTGCGGCCGGCGCACCGCGCTGATCCGATGGCAGGAGCAGGAGCCAGTGCTGTTCCTGGTCTCCCACGGGGTTGCAGTGCCCAAGCACCGGGCCATCCTCCACTGCCACTCCCTGGCCACAGCAGAGGGCTGGCCTGGAAGAGGGGGCAACCGGGACAGAATCTGGCGCCCCGACCTGGGACTAGAACCGGTGTGCCGGCGCCGCTAGGCGGAGGATTAGCCCTAGTGAGCCGCGGCGCCGGCCTAACCTGTATTTTAAAAACATTTTCTAACAAAGTGGACTAAAGTACTAAGGTGATATTCATTTTCTTTGATATGATATGCATTTTCTTTCTTAATATATTTAAAGCAATGCACCACTTGTGCCTGCCTTTGCTTCAAGCCTTTTCTACTATATGCTTATCCTGTCATAAGTTTCACACAAATCGTTTCTATATTTAAGTTATCATGAATTTTTTTAAACACTTGTCTAACTGGTGAGGTGTTTGTGAATGTTTAAGAGGAAAAATGCTAACTTGTAGCATTTGCTCATGTACAGGTTAACACTGGCATGTTGTTGATTTCAGCCACCTGCATAACGTCCTGGAATGCAGAGCTCTCACTAAGTGCTAGTGCTAGTGCCAGCCAGCTTAGGATCACCACTGGAGCTAGTCATCCCCCACAAAGCAATATGTGGAACCACATTTTGATTCAAAAGCTACTTCAGTGGACTCACATTCCACATTTCAAGAAGAAAAATCTGAAAATATTGCTATGCCATCATTTATTCCCTCATTCACAGTTTAAATATGGCACATGGCTATAAAAAGTCTCCACAATAGCAAGAAAACAAGGAAATAAACTAACATTAAAAACCACATTGAATTACTGCTATAATTGTTTAATTCAAATATAAGGAGAGTCTGATGTCCTGGCAGGGTGGGTTAAACCACCACTGGGGATGCCTACATTCCATATTAGAGTGCCTGGTTCGAATCCGACACCTGAGAAGCAGCAGAAGGAGCTCAAATACTTGAGTCCCTCCCACTCACAGGGACTGGATGGAGCTCTTGGCCACTGCCTTTGGCCTGTCTAGTCTCAGCTGTTGCAGCCATTTGAGAGTGAATCAGGGGAATGGTTCGCTCCCCCTCTTCATGGAGGAACGCACTAAACCTGCCTAGACCTCATATCCGATCACGGCACCATTATGTCTCTCCCCCTCTTCATGGAGGAACGACACTAAACCCTGCCTAGTCTTCATATCCGAGTCACGACCATTATGTCGCTCCCCGTCTTCGTGGAGGACGACACAGGACCCTGCGCTGTTCTTTCGTCTGCTCTCGGCCCTCCCGGGTTTGCTGCTGGTTCTTCCCGGGTTGGCTACCGTCCCTTCCACCTCGGTGGAAGGGCGTTCCCCCCTGCCACTTCCCCACTTCCGCAGGGGAGCACACACTGCCGGCTGGCTCTCTCGGGGGGCTGCACAGGTGTTCCTCAGATAGATGTTCCTGGTGCATGTTCTCTCTCCTCCTTTAGTCCCTCTTCCCCAATCCCAACTCTGCTACCCACACGCCGAGTACGCTGCTCTCCCTCCTCCAATCAGGAGTAGGTCCTACAGTTTCTTGGTTGAACTGGAGGCAGCTGTGTAGAAGCTGTTTCCCTTCTCAGCGCCATATTGTGGGAGAGCAGATGCTAGAATAAGTCTTAATTCCAGTAACTTAGTCTAGTCCGAGTTGCTCCCCACAGAATGGAATCTCTCTCTCTCTCTCTCGCTCTCTTGTCTTTCAAATAAATAATCTTTTA